GCGTCCCCTTTACAGCAGGACGGACATTGAAGGGAACGCTAACTGGTCTGGGATGGCGCTGAAGACCGGTCAGCCATCTGTACAGCGCTGTCAAGGCCTTGGTTTCTTGATAATTTTTTGTATCATATTTCAAAAGTTGAACTACATATATGAAATGCCGGGTGTGCTTCTGGATGGGAGCATATCGACACCTATTTTTTAAACCCCACATCTGCTCTCCCGTGAATTTCCAGGAGGCACGAAAGATCTCCTTTTAAAAGTGTCCAATCGTCCGATCCTGATCAAATATGTGTGTTCGTAGGCCTATTCTGGTATTGCTTTATCTGCCAAGACAGACAAATATACAGATAAATATATACGTTTGGTGCATATTTGGTGCAGATTAGATGCAGATTTGGTCAAATTAGGTTCCGTGTGTCTCTTAGTAGCTATCATCTAGGGCTGCACTAATTGCTTATGCCCCTGCTTTGTCATATTATCAGAGAGTATCGTCGATTAAAGCACTGAAATAAATTCATAAAATAAAGATATTTGCTGTAAAAGAGATTAGGTGCAGATTTGGTCACATTAGGTGCACTCGCCGGATAGCCCGTCGTGAAAACGGCTAACGTCACACAAATGCGGCACGAGTGCCAATACGGATACGGTCGATTATACGCCTTTACACGCTTTACACGTCAATTACACGCTTTTCGTTCTTAAAATAAAAAGTCGCAGTGCATGCATCCAGCATTCAAGGGTAAAATATTTTTACCCCGACCGCCTCAGGCGATTACGTGCTGTCACCCACCTGGCCGCAGCTGCCTCTCCGTTCTTAAATGTGTCTTGCGGTGCAGTATCACCCCTAGTACGGACGGGTAGTGTCATCTGGGGAGCGAGGTTAGTACTAGCATTCGCCACCTCAGCGACGAGGTGTCACTGCGGGGTTGGCTCGTGCCTATACGGGCGCTGGGAAAGGCTGGCATGGGGCACGGACACGTCTTAACGTAACATAAGTAAGTCACAGTAATTGAAATAGGCCGGTGGCAATATTATCATACGAATGCAGCACGAACACGGATACGGCCGATTAGACGGCCAGCAGCCGCCGCCAATATTCTTCAAGATAAGGTTGGGGCTGCTGTCGCGTGGCTGTCAGCTGTTGTGCCAGGCGGTCGTGCTGACATGCCGGTGGGCGGTAGCGGTATTCCAGGATTCCATTATTTACCTAAATGCTTTGCTTTTAAAGGGGTTTAAATAATAGACGATTCCCGGCTTGTCTCGTGAGGTTGTTATCATAATCAGAAGACTTTTTTTTTACTAATCTTGTCGAGTCTCGAGACCGTAGCATTTGAATGAAACAAATTCAGACGATCGTTCCCTAGTAGCACACAACATTGACGTCTAAGGTGTATTTAGTGGAATGCCCTTCATGGTCACATCTCGGTCGCCATTATAATCCTCGCGAAAACATACCTTTACCGAAGAATAATCGGAAAACGGTAGAGAAAGAGCGAGGAGCCTGTTTCCGAATAATCTCACGAAAACATTCCTTAACCGAAGAATAGTCGGAAAACGGTACAGAAAAGGCGAGGAACCTGTTTCCGAATATTCTCACGGAAACATACCTTTACCGAAAATTAGTCCGAAAACGGTACAGAAAGGGCGAGGAACCTGTTTCCGAATATTCTTGGGTGAAAAATATCATTAGGTTTAGTTCTATTTTGGTGACACTGACTTGCACAGCGGGGCAGAGTGTTTTTTTTTCTTATGCGGCGCCAGTGAATGCGCGGCAGACCAAGACGCTGCTCCCGCTGCCTCCATCCCCCTCGCTACCCACGCCGCGCGTGCCCTCGGGCACTTACCGAAGGGAAGGCAATCAGCTGTTAGTTTCCATTCCGGATGGCCGTTCACGGGCACCGCACACTGCTGCGTGCGGTGTGTGCGGTGAGTCCAGCAGGCGTGGGGGTAGGGGATGGGTAGGCGGTTCTGACGTCACGGCTGCGTGCGGTGGACGGCTTCGACCGGCCACAGCGGTCGCTGTGTGCGTTGACGGAAGGCTGACGTTGGGACGCAGTGGGCGGAGCTTGAATTGGAGACTGTGCGGTCCGACCGTACACAGGGCCCGTGAACAGCCCTCAGAGGTTCTCCTTCATCCATGTAAACATGTTATTGTCAGTGAAGCGGGACCGCCGCCGACCTGCCTCCAGGCGCCGCCGGAGGGGTGGGGTGTGACGTCACAGAAGGGACAGCAGTTGTATGTACACAGCACAACGGACTTTGGCCAGTTAGCGTCCCCTTTACAGCAGGACGGACATTGAAGGGAACGCTAACTGGTCGGGGACGGCGCTGAAGACCGGTCACTGACCGGTCAGCCATCTGTACAGCGCTGCCAAGGCCTTGGTTTCTTAATCATTTTTTTTTGTATCATATTTCAAAAGTTGAACTACATATATGAAATGCCGGGTGTGCTTCTGGATGGGAGCATATCGACACCTATTTTTTAAACCCCACATCTGCTCTCCCGTGAATTTCCGGGAGGCACGAAAGATCTCCTTTTAAAAGTGTCCAATCGTCCGATCCTGATCAAATATGTGTGTTCGTAGGCCTGTTCTGGTATTGCTTTATCTGCCAAGACAGACAAATATACAGATAAATATACACGTTTGGTGCATATTTGGTGCAGATTAGGTGCAGATTTGGTCAAATTAGGTTCCGTGTGTCTCTTAGTAGCTATCATCTAGGGCTGCACTAGTTGCTTATGCCCCTGCTTTGTCATATTATCAGAGAGTATCGTCGATTAAAGCACTGAAATAAATTCATAAAATAAAGATATTTGCTGTAAAAGAGATTAGGTGCAGATTTGGTCACATTACTGTTAACGCCAGACCCCTTGAGACCCTAATTTTTCGCGATTATTTTTAAATGCGTGGAGGAATTTCAACCAAGCTCAGGACATGGCCGTTTCAAGACAGGCCGAAACTTTTACAATTTAGATATTTTATCGCCATTTCAATATTTCAGGCACTTGTCTTTGACTCGTAATGTTAACTGTTTTTCCATCCTGGATAGAGGCTTTCTACGTCATATGACATTAGGCTCCGCCCACGACTGCGGCATTGACCCGTGCCCATCAGCGACCTCTGTACAAACGACACCCCTGCCATCTGTGAAGGACTATGAATTTCGCTGACGCTTCACGTGCTATGAGTCAATTGCAGCAGACGGTCAAGTAAATGTTAGGCTCTTGTTGACTCTTGTATATAGGACCAAGAGGACCATCACTCCTCAACCTACTACTCAGTCGTGCTTCGAACAAACGTTAACGATTCCTAACAAATACGATTTTCGATGTAGGGTATCTGTTTGAAATACGAGCGAGCCGTATGATGTGAAGCTCAGACAAATAACTTATTATTGCGTTGTTCGATGGTTGCATAGCGATGTACAAATCGGCAGCTACTTGGTGACATCCGACATCCCATTATCGCATTATCTGCAACGCCATAGGCTTTAAATACAGGTGAATATTTCCTAACCTTATGTCAGTTATATGCCATCTGCCCGTCATATGCAGCATATAAAAAAAAAAATATATCAGCGAACATATCAGCATTGTAGAAGCAATGCGCATTGAGCATTTATGACTCCTTAGTCATCATGTCGCTCTCTGGGCACTGTCAGCCAAGACGCTACGCACAACTCCGCCGGCTTTCGGCACCGCTCGACCGTCGCCCGTCCCCGCTCCCCGCCACAGCGAGAGTGACCGCGCGCCGGCCCGAAACCGCCGCAGGCCAAGACCACAGAGGCGGGGCTTAGCTGTGACGTCATAACGTATCACAGACTGACTGGTGATAGCCTCTACACACCGGATGAAAATCTTGCTCGAAATTTAACATTACGAGTCAATGACAAGTGCCTGAAATATTGAAATGGCGATAAAATATCTAAATTGTAAAAGTTTCGGCCTGTCTTGAAACGGCCATGTCCTGAGCTTGGTTGAAATTCCTTCACGCATTTAAAAGTAATCGCGAAAAATTAGGGTCTCAAGGGGTCTGGCGTTAACAGTAGGTGCCCTCGCCGGATAGCCCGTCGTGAAAACGGCTAACGTCACACAAATGCGGCACGAGTGTTAATACGGATACGGTCGATTATACGCCTTTACACGCCAATTACACGCTTTTCGTTCTTAAAATAAAAAGTCGCAGTGCATGCATCCAGCATTCAAGGGTAAAATATTTTTACCCCGACCGCCTCAGGCGATTGCGTGCTGTCACCCACTTGTTTGTTTGTTTGTTTGTTTGTTTTGTTGGGTTAGGCCCTTTCGGTCGACAAGACCATTGCAGAGCCGGAAGGATGATAGGATTTAGGGGGAGACATTGGTCTGGGCAGGCACCCTAGTGAGTCGCCGGGGCTGAGCCCGTCCAGAGGACAGGCCACTCAGCCCCAAGGCACTCACTGCACCCGGCTACGGGGTGCGCTCCCTCAGGAGCAGCGGTGCCGCTCCAAGGGAGCAGCCCGCATGAGATAAAGTTGCCTGTCCAGCCCGGAGGGGGGTTGCGGCGTGGAGGAGAAGGATTTCTGTTTCCTGAGGATAGAAGCACGGATAGGTCTGTCACCCACCTGGCCGCAGCTGCCTCTCCGTTCTTAAATGTGTCTTGCGGTGCAGTATTACCCCTGGTACGGACGGGTAGTGTCATCTGGGGAGCGAGGTTAGTACTAGCATTCGCCACCTCAGCGACGAGGTGTCACTGCGGGCGGTGGCTCGTGCCTATACGGGCGCTGGGAAAGGCTGGCATGGGGCACGGACACGTCTTAACGTAACATAAGTAAGTCACAGTAATTGAAATAGGCCGGTGGCAATATTATCACACGAATGCAGCACGAACACGGATACGGCCGACTAGACGGCCGGCAGCCGCCGCCAATATTGGTCATTTCACGTCGACTCCGCGTGCAAATTACATTAACTTGGCGATAGAGGCGACCACCACCCCGCCGACAGGAGGTGCCCGGCACACGAGGGAGGGGCACAGAGGGCGCTGGCACCTCTCTGAGGTTAGATAAGCGCCCGCGGCCGGGCCAGCAAACAGCACCGTCCACCCCAGCGAGGACATTGCTCCCCTCCACAGTGTGTGAGCGGCACGCCACACCGAGGCCGCTCTCTTTTTCGTGCGTGCGCGCTGAGGCCGCTGCGATCATCCCCCGAAGATGGGACGCTCCACACGCGGCAGGGCATCCGGTAAGTCACGCCTTTACCTGCTGGCGTCTCCCCATTGTGTCCAGGCTGTCACAAGCGACGCCACTACCAGCCTTCTTTAGGCCCGCGGGCGCTCCGTGCCGGCGTACTGACCCCCCCCCCCCATCGTATTGGTTGTGTTGGACATTTCAGAGCGGTCCACGTTCCATTTGCGTGTCGATTACCGCCGTGGCGATCACGTGGCGATTGCTGCTCCTTTGCTTGTCTTTCACCGCCGAAACGTCCCGCGCCGTCACGCCGCAGCTGCGTCCCATGCTTATGTCATGTGAGTTTCTCGGACGGCCAGCCCGCCATGCCCTACTAACGCACCATCTCACCCGTCGCCGGTGAGATTTCCCGTCTGCTACCATGCTGTCACGCCGCCGTTGACAATCCACTATCTCGCCCGTTGCACGGCCTGTCCCGTCTGTCATACGTGGTCAAGCCGCTGCTGACTACCTCTTCTGTCACATGGACTGTTCGTCTGTCAAATTACACCGTCACGCCGCCGCCAGACCTCGGTCTTGCCGCCGCCGCCCCTGCCTCGCCCGTCACCCAACATGTCATGCCGCCGCTGACATATCCAACTGCCACGCCCGCTACGTTCGTCGTCACCGCTGTCGTGCCGCCGCCGACAGCCCACCGTCACACCTGACGCTACCGCTGGCTGTCCTGCCGCCTGCCACGACCCGCCCGCCGCCTGGCCGCCCCGCCGGCCGCTGCCCGGCCACCCCGCCGGCCGCCGCCCGGCCCCCCCCCCCCCCAACCCGCCTGCCGCCCGCCGCCCGCCGGCCGCCGCGCTGTCTCTCCGCGCCGGACTGTCACCTGACACCGCCTGAGGCCGCCGGCCGTGTCTTTGTCTCCCGGCGGCCCTCCCTCCCACCAGCCCCGCCCCGCCGCGCGCACCCCGGCCTGGCTACCCTCCCGTCCCGGGCCGCCGCCCGCGCCCCCTAGTCGCCCGTCTGTTTGCTTAGCGCTGCCTTTCCCACCGGTGCCCATTCTATCGCGTTCGCCCTACCCCTACCATCGCGTCCCTCGTGGAGTAGTGGTTAGCGCCGCGGGTATTGCTGTGTGTAGAATGCGCTCGTCATTAGGGCGGCCGGTTCGATTCCGGGGAGAGTCGGTGTTTTTTGCGTCGCGACGAGGCCAATTCTTTTTCTCACAGTGCCTCTACAATTTCCCCTCGTTTTTCACCAGACAGCCGGTCGTTAATTAATTACACGTTCTTGCCAGCACATCCCTGCCCCACGACCACTGCCGATAGACGGCTCGCTAACACAATCACGACATCAATCATAACATCACGACCTCCCCATGTTCGACTGCGTCCCTCATATCGTACGCCGGGCAGCCCAGATGTTTCGCGGTACCCCTTTTTTGTGCCCCTAGTCGTCGTCACCTGCCTGTGCCAACCGTTTCTCGGCCGCTTACAGGCCCCCGCCGCTCCGACCCGGTCGTCGAGCCCACCGCCGCACCGCCGGAAGCTTTGGAGACGCCGCGCCCCGCCGGGCCTGCCTCACCTCCAATCGAGGCCACCAGCGACAGCGACACTCTGCCGCTCTCCGACGTCGACTCCACACTGTCCGACGCAGACACCCCCACTTCTGACTCCGAGTCCGGGTCAGACTCGCCTGCCCCGCCACGCCATAAGCGGCGGAGAGGAGACGCCCGACATAGTCGCAAGACCAACCCGCCGCCGAGTCCTGGGCCGACGGTGGATTTTCTTCGCGCAAGCAAGGCACCATTAAAGTCCACACAACCGCCGCCACCGCGCCGTCTTAAGCTGCCCACGGTCGCCCCGGATACTCTTCGCCGCCTCCGCAACCGCACAAAGGTTGTGGACATCAACGACCTACTACACCCGCGCCCATTTGGAGGTCGCGGCGGGACTGCACCAGCCCAGTCCTGCACATCTACGGCCGACTACCTGCGCGGGCTCGCCATCCTGGTCGCCTACCGCTCCTACTTTTTTCCGACGATGGCCGTCCAATGGGCCATGTACGCGGTGTGGCTGCACGGTCACGCAGCCGGCCTCACCCTGTCGGCAATGAGGGAGCTGGACGGCCAGGGACGGACGCACCTAGCACAGTACCCGCAGGACTACCACAGCCCGGCAGAGCTCACCGAATGCGTGCAAGGGTTCCTGGCGTCCCGCCGCTCGCTCTCAGGCTTTCCGCTCGGTCCCGACACCGCCGGCCGCCGTCCGGCGCCGCGCCCCGCCCTCCCCGAGCCGTGCTTCCGCTGGAATAACGGCCGGTGCTCTGCCGGCGCCTCATGTCGACGGCCGGTGCTCTGCCGGCGCCTCATGTCGACGGCCGGTGCTCTGCCGGCGCCTCATGTCGACGTCCGGTGCTCTGCCGGCGCCTCATGTCGACGGCCGGTGCTCTGCCGGCGCCTCATGTCGACGCCCCCACACATGCACCAGCTGCGGCGGCCCGCACCCAGCCCACGCCTGCCCCTCAGCCCAGGGAAACGCCCCGCGCCCGCTAATGACACCCCTAGCGGGCCGCTACTAGCTCCAGGCCGCGCGGCAGCCACGGTGGGTAGCGCCCCCGCCTCAGTACCGGACCACCCTCATCCGCCGGTCTCACCCCACATGCTCGCACAGCTGTCCTCCCCACTCACCGACCCCGCCCTACTGCGCACGGTTACCGACCGGCTATTACATGGGGCGAACATAGGCTACACCGGCCCACTCACCGGCTCACTTCGCCCAAACAACCGTTCGGCGAGCATGTATCCTAAAGCTCTCACGAGCTAGGGAGAGCTGGAACACACGCAAAAGGAGCTGGCGGAGGTCGAGGCCGCGTTACGCCAAATCTATCGAGGTAAGAGACGGGTACCGCCCTCAGCTCAGCTCAAGCATATCACAACATCCAGGCGCCGGCGACGTCAACGTTAATGGTCATTTCACGTCGACTCCGCGTGGAAATTACATTAACTTGGCGATAGAGGCGACCACCACCCCGCCGACAGGAGGTGCCCGGCACACGAGGGAGGGGCACAGAGGGCGCTGGCACCTCTCTGAGGTTAGATAAGCGCCCGCGGCCGGGCCAGCAAACAGCACCGTCCACCCCAGCGAGGACATTGCTCCCCTCCACAGTGTGTGAGCGGCACGCCACACCGAGGCCGCTCTCTTTTTCGTTTTTTTTTTTGCTGTTATATTCTTTCATTTGCCTTTTCCCTCTTTCGTCTCCTTCCGTCAACTCCCTAGGCGTCTTTCAGCTAGGGAGAGCTGGAACACACGCAAAAGGAGCTGGCGGAGGTCGAGGCCGCGTTACGCCAAATCTATCGAGGTAAGAGCCGGGTACCGCCCTCAGCTCAGCTCAAGCATATCACAACATCCAGGCGCCGGCGACGTCAACGTTAATCTTCAAGATAAGGTTGGGGCTGCTGTCGCGTGGCTGTCAGCTGTTGTGCCAGGCGGTCGTGCTGACATGCCGGTGGGCGGTAGCGGTATTCCAGGATTCCATTATTTAGCTAAATGCTTTGCTTTTAAAGGGGTTTAAATAATAGACGATTCCCGGCTTGTCTCGTGAGGTTGTTATCATAATCAGGAGACTTTTTTTTTACTAATCTTGTCGAGACCGTAGCATTTGAATGAAACAAATTCGGACGATCGTTCCCTAGTAGTACACAACATTGACGTCTAAGGTGTATTTAGTGGAATGCCCTTCATGGTCACATCTCGGTCGCCCTTATAATCCTCGCGAAAACATACCTTTACCGAAGAATAATCGGAAAACGGTACAGAAAGAGCGAGGAGCCTGTGGACGGCTTCCTGTGGCCGGTCCCGACCGGCCACAGCGGTCGCTGTGTGCGGTGACGGAAGGCTGACGTAGGGACGCAGTGGGCGGAGCTTGGAGGCTGTGTGCGGTCCGACCGCACACAGGGCCCGTGAACAGCCCTCAGAGGTTCTCCTTCATCCATGTAAACATGTTATCGTCAGTGAAGCGGGACCGCCGCCGATCTGCCTCCAGGCGCCGCCGGAGGGGTGGGTGTGACGTCACAGCAGGGACAGCAGTTGTATGTACAGTGGATCTTATTAGGATCTCCAGACGTAACTAGATGGCGTTGAGCCTTAGTGGAGTCCATGTCAAATTCAAGGAGAGGTCACTACCGAGCTGGGCCCGATGGGGAGGTGGGCGGGGAGGGGGGGCGGGTGGCGAGGTCACGGTGCGGGTGACCTGTCAACCAGCCCCGGCGCGGTGGGGCACTGCCGTAGGCAAATGGCGCACTCCAGTGTTGTTCCATATCGCGGTGGTGGGCCGGGCGGCCGGTTAGCTTGGCAGCTTGGAAGGAAAGGATAATGAGGCATGGTTTTGCTGTGGCCGGTTCACCTACTGTTACTTATGATGTACCCAGAGAAATGCAAATGTGGCGTTGATAATGCAGCTGACAATGGAATGCTAGGGAATGCTCCGAGCGCCTAGCTATAAGGATTAAGATTATTTATGTCTCCTGAAATTTTCATTGAATATAATTCAAGCACTAGAGAGATCGTATTCGCTCGCCAGTTTTTTGACCGGCTGGCGTTTCTTGCGTAGAGCGCCCTTGGGCAAATATTTAGGTATAACGCAGGTGATTTTTTTTCTGGTAGACGCCTTTAGGGTCAAATCAAGCAGTGGCGGCGGAACACCTTTAAAGGTAGTGTGCCAGCTTTCTTGGACCGTATGGAGTTAATGGCCCAGATAAGGAGAACCGGATTTTTAGAACTTATCCATACCTTCAAAACTCATGGAAACGTCTTAAATTCTTCAAATTTTGAGTACCCCAGTGCGAAATTCGCCCCGACGGGTTGTCGGTCGTACCCCAACCACATTTCACACCACTATGAACAATAAATGCACACACTGAAATCGCTATTACCGATATGCTCATCCAATCAAGCTTCGATAAACCCGTTCATCATCATCTCCTGCGGTTTCGAACACGCCTGTTAGGTGGCTTCTGATGCTCGTCGAGGTCGGAATTTCCAAATACGCGTGGTGCGTCGGGCCGCGCGCTCTGACTTCGGCCAAGAAAAATGCGTCAGCTGATCATTGTCATTTCTGCCACTTGCGTGTGGTGAAATGGGGTCATAACTTATAAGACGGCTTTTTCATATCAATTATTTTACATAAAATCATATTTCAAACCATAAATAATGTTCGACAGCCAAATAAAAGAAACAATACCAATACGGGCTTACAGTTTAAGGCTCGACATTGTGTTGTCTACGATTAGACAGCTGATAACTCATTCCCGTACGTCGTACACTCAAAACTTTTTTACTACCTCCTGGAGAGTTCATTTTCATCAAACCCGCAAGATAATAGTATATTGAAAGGGTAACTCGCTGCTACCATTATGTGCATAGTAACGGTACGTGGTTAATATGAACTTACTCGCCAGCGAAGAGTATTATTACCATTTAAATATCAATATTACTCTCGCGATCCAGAACATCACGAAAACTCTTTCCTCCTGGGTATCGTGACTCGGGTACAGATAGTCGTTTCATGCGTGGATCTTGTTTACCCTCGTGAAGATGATATTTGAAATGGAAACAATCAGCCAATCAGAAACGAGATCGGCCGTTTGCGGTTTGAAGGCCGCGCGCATCTGTCAGTTTTCGGCCGTTGGTCTCCGAGAGCGGATGTGAGCAGTGTCGGTGCCGCGCGGCGTGGCCGTTGGTGATTGTGCTTGTGTGTTGTTCATCGCCTATAGAGCATCTGTGGACATTTTATTGTAAGTACCGATGTGCTAGAGCATTGCGTGCCGTTGAGTGGTGCTAATTTGACCTGGTTAACAGGACCCCGTGCACGGCCACGTGGCCTAGTGTTGTGAGTACGTACATTAATTTTGTTGTGATGCTACAAGTTTATGCATTTTGTTGGTGACTTTGAAAAAGCCTTGCACTGTAGTGATCCAGTCTCATTATCTCACGCAGACGGGCGACCACCCAGGAACGCCGTCGCTCACTTCAAATATTGTGCGCTCTGCCTAATCCAATATGAGGGCGCTGAATGTCTTGTATTCATATTCAAATTGCATTCAAGTTGTATCGTGGTGTTTATTTACCGCTTGTGCATTGCTGAACGCTTTGTATAAATTTGTATGAATGAGTGAAGAGTCTCACAATGTTCATGGTTGGTGTGCCCCTCGTATTGTTTGTACGGAAGCCAAATATACCTACATTGTTGCTCTTGAAGCATTTTTTTTTAGTTGGTGAGCTCCGGTTAACAGAAGCTTCGTGAAGCTTCTGGAGGAAGCGTCTGTGGGTCTGTTACCATCCTCTGGGGGGTTTACACTAAAGGAAAGAGTAAACATTACCATGTGACAAAGGGTAGGCCATAAGAATATACTCTCTGTAGGAGGGTAAAGCACAGAGTAGATGATGCGTTACTCCCTAAAAAAGGGTTCCGTTAAAGATTTACCCTTTCAAAGAGTGTAACCCAAAAAATGTTACACTCTAGACAAGAGTAAATCAAAAGAGTTTACCATTCAGAAGATGGTAAAAAACGTCTGTGTGTCATGTTACCCCTCCCTGGCGAGTTTACTCTTCATGAAAGAGTAAAATTTACCATCTGGAAGGTGGTAAAAAACGTCTGTGTGTCAAGCTACCATGCTATGGCGGGTTTACCCTTCAGGAAATGGTAAAAAAGTTTTCAGTGTATGGTCGTACACTGAAAACAATTCAACCCGCGTACAGCGAGTAAAACCCGCTGCTGGCGGGTACACCTACCCACCACCTAATTTGACACCCTACCAGCGGGTGCTTTTACCCGCATATCGCAGGCTGTCACCCCGAGTATATTGTGTACCTAACCCGCATAGGATGGGGACTCAACCCACACACAGAAGGCAACCTACCCGTTCGCAGCGGGTACACAATCCGCACATGGCGTATTACCTGCGCTGCGTGGGTTGGGAACTCGCTTTCTGCGAGTACAAATATCCGCTGGTCAGGGGCGGATCCAGGATTTCGATAGGGTGGGGGCAGTCAGCACAGGGGCGGCACATTTTCCGCCTACGGGGGGCGGCATTCATAGGGTCTGTTTCAGTCGCACTTTCGAACACCTCCAACCTCCTCTCAACTCCTTAAAAAATGTTTCTCTGTTGCATTGGCAGTTGAACCTGTTCAAAATCGGTTCCCGCCCTCTCTCCTCTAAACCCCTCTAGCTTGCGCCAGCTCAAAGGTGAGTCAGAACTGAAAAATTTTGAGGTTTAGATGTGTTACAAGCGCGACTGGAACAGACCTCTTATTCGTTCAGAAAGCTAAGAATACACCTGTCCCGGGGATAGGAAAAAACTCTCGGCCAACAAAAGATATTTAATGCATTTACCGCATTTCTGAAAGTAGTTCCAGCGCCCCTGTGTAGATAAAACATCGTATACCAATCTTGCATAAAGTCATCCAAAATAGAACATGTACCTATGCGTCGCGTTTAGCTATGATCATTGAAGGATACGTGAAGTCTAAATATCAGTCATATGTGTATTCTTTGATGCTTACTCTTAGAAGATAGGGCCGAGCCTCCTCTGTGTCGGGGAGGTCGCGAACTGCTGAAGGACGCTGTCCACCGTCAGGGCCGGGCACTGCCGGTAGACCTGCAGAGGTGTGGCCAGATTCGTTTTGTGTTAGGGATGAGATGTAGACACTGGACATTGGACAAGAAACCCGGATTACGGATATATAGCTCAGGTCGGTTAAGTGAAGATATAATTTCATTCGTCATTTATTTCTTTAAAAAAAAATGTCATTGGGCTCGTTTTAGCTGCCCATTACGACAAAACCATGATGATAATGTTTTGTACTGGTAGCAGCAAGATGTTCAAAGGTGATGAAATGAGGATCATATTCTGAACAGATTACACCATTTGGCAACTCTCACCTGCAGTAGGCAGAGGGCCTCGAGCCGCTCCTCAGACATGGTTGCCCGGATGCAGGTTTCCGTCAGTGTGACGCGGCTGAACAGGCGCTCCGGCTCAGCGGTGGTGACCGGCAGCGCGGCGAGGATCTGGAGCAGCCTGTTGATGTTTGGAAGCAGCTCCGCAGGGCAGGCGTCCAGAGCTGCCACCGCGGATTTTGGCCTCGCCGTCTCCGCTTTTCCCTTCCACATGTTCATCCACACCTTGTGCTCAACTTTGAGCTGATGCGGCTGGTCAAGGAAGGCGGTATACCGTTTGGTGGCGCTCTCCACCTCCTCCCAAGACTTCATGTGGGCCGGCAGTAGGCCATAGAGCTTGAATGATGCCTGCTGCCTCTCTCCGAACCTTGCTTGCAGCTGCCTGAGGACACTGTGGAGTAGTGGGAGGAAGCAGTTGACTCGGTAGTACTCAACGGCGTCCCCGCACTCACCAGCATTAGCACGGTACTGTGATCTCCCGGCACAGCGGGGAGGCCTGAGCTCGACATCTAGCGCTTCAGCGACTTCCCGAGTCTTGGATATGACCTCGTTGAACACGCTGTCCGGGTCTTCGTTCCAAGACTGGAGTATGCGTGTGCAGGCTTTCAGGCCCTCCATCGCTGTCGACACGTCCATGCTTTTGGCCTGGAGCGACCGTGCGACAGGCAGAACCACGGCCGTGATGGCCTCCAGAGAGAAGAGCGCCACCAGGAACGAAGGCGTGCTGATACAGCTGAGCAGCTGGATGGCCTTCCCTCTAGTTTCTGTTGAGTACCAGTTTTTCATTTCATCTAGGCATTTGGTGACTGCAGGTAGCAGCTGGCACATACACAGGATGGCGTCGTGACGCTCAAGAAACCTTGTGGTACAAAGAGACACAAGTTTCGAGCGCGTCTGCTCAGGGCAGAATCGCTCGACAGCACGCTGCAGCGCCTCTGCCCGCTTGGCGGACGTGTTGAAGAACGTGGTCAGAGCCTTCACCGTCGTGAGACACGCACGAACGTCCGCCTGGTCTGTGCACGCTGCTACACACAGGTTCAGCGCGTGCATAGCGCAGTGGTAATAGTCGCACAACGGGTTGTCTCTCTTCAGCACAGCAGCCGCCCCTACGCTCTGGCTGGCCATTGCTGCGGCTCCGTCAAAGCCGCACCCCACCATACGGCTTGTGCCACTCAGGTTGAGCTCGTTGACCTTTTTTAGGATTGCTTCACCGATATTTTCTCCAGTCATGCGGACCTCGCCCTCCGTCTCTTCCTCGCCTTTCTTGATCTCGCGCAGAAGGTCAACAATTCTCACTGGGTCTTCCCGCACGCACCACCGACCCTCCTCTTGTGTGGCGTAGCGGAAGATGATGGCCAGCTGCTCCCGGCCGGCTCGGTCTGTCGTTTCGTCTGCTAGGACGCTGAAGAAGCGATCAGTGACTTCGGCGCGAATGTAGTTCTGAATGACGGCTAGTGCAGAATCCAGAACCATGTTTTGAGTCGTTTTCGAGATGTACGTGGCGTTCCTTGCAGACGTTTTCAGGTGATGTCGTAGGACTCCGTTGCCGTGCCGCATCATCAGCCGAAGGAGGCTGCGGAAGTTACCGTCGTTTGTCAGAGGCTCCTGCTCATCGAGACGCCCGTCGTCCCGGTGCCCGCGCAGGGCGATGTTCTGACGTGCACAGGTCAGAACCGCATCGATGATCGGTGCCAGTGCCTGGCGGTTCGCCTCAGCCTCGGCTCTCCTTCCCCTGTGCACCAGGTTGCGGATGTCTCCCGCTGCTGAGCTACCGTCGTCGCGCGTCCTGATCAAAAACTCTGTTGCTCGTTCCTTGCACCGCAGATGAAACCTTGAAATTTCGTGTTTGAGATAGACGCCATCTTTTCCCATCACCTTCCGGTACCTTGTAAGTGGAGCGTTGACGAGCGGTCCGAATGCTGCACCTCGGCCATCGCATCTAACACCATCACCGCGTCCGCCACCACTTGTGTTGTCGGTGCCTTTGAAGAGAGAGCACTCAGCACACCATGCCCCTTCATGACCAGGCACTCTACTTATCGCCAGCCACTTGTGTGCTCGAAGATGAGACAGAGTGACTCGACGACGAAGCGTTCCGGTCTCGCCGCTTTTGTTTTTAATCTTGTGCATGGATGCTGGGAGTTCGGAGTCACTGGTTGGGGTCCATCGATGAAGAAGTCCGCTGCGAAGCTCTGATACTGAGAGTGGACGTGTTTTCGCTTGATGAATCAGATTACCGATGTCCACAGCGCCGGAAAGCAGTGCTGGCGGAGGACCAGGATGCGCTAGCGCTGCGGCAGCGTCCGGTGCCGTCACCGCCGGCGGGGGACCAGGACGGGCTAGCGCTGCGGCAGCGTCCGGTGCCGTCACCGCCGGCGGAGGGCCGTCAGGAGCAGGACGGGCTAGCGCTGCGGCAGCGTCCGGTGCCGTCACCGCCGGCGGAGGGCCGTCAGGAGCAGGACGGGCTAGCGCTGCGGCAGCGTCCGGTGCCGTCACCGCCGGCGGAGGGCCGTCAGGAGCAGGACGGGCTAGCGCTGCGGCAGCGTCCGGTGCCGTCACCGCCGGCGGAGGGCCGTCAGGAGCAGGACGGGCTAGCGCTGCGGCAGCGTCCGGTGCCGTCACCGCCGGTGGAGGGCCGTCAGGAGAAGGACGGGCTAGCGCTGCGGCAGCGTCCGGTGCCGTCACCGCCGGCGGAGGGCCGTCAGGAGCAGGACGGGCTAGCGCTGCGGCAGCGTCCGGTGCCGTCACCGCCGGCGGAGGGCCGTCAGGAGCAGGACGGGCTAGCGTTGCGGCAGTGTCCGGTGCCGTCACCGCCGGCGGAGGGCCGTCAGGAGCAGGACGGGCTAGCGCTGCGGCAGCGTCCGGTGCCGTCACCGCCGGCGGAGGGCCGTCAGGAGCAGGACGGCCTAGCGCTGCGGCAGCGTCCGGTGCCGTCACCGCCGGCGGAGGGCCGTCAGGAGCAGGACGGGCTAGCGCTGCGGCAGCGTCCGGTGCCGTCACCGCCGGCGGAGGGCCGTCAGGAGCAGGACGGGCTAGCGCTGCGGCAGCGTCCGGTGCCGTCACCGCCGGCGGAGGGCCGTCAGGAGCAGGACGGGCTAGCGCTGCGGCAGCGTCCGGTGCCGTCACCGCCGGCGGAGGGCCGTCAGGAGCAGGACGGGCTAGCGCTGCGGCAGCGTCCGGTGCCGTCACCGCCGGCGGAGGGCCGTCAGGAGCAGGACGGGCTAGCGCTGCGGCAGCGTCCGGTGCCGTCACCGCCGGTGGAGGGCCGTCAGGAGAAGGACGGGCTAGCGCTGCGGCAGCGTCCGGTGCCGTCACCGCCGGCGGAGGGCCGTCAGGAGCAGGACGGGCTAGCGCTGCGGCAGCGTCCGGTGCCGTCACCGCCGGCGGAGGGCCGTCAGGAGCAGGACGGGCTAGCGTTGCGGCAGTGTCCGGTGCCGTCACCGCCGGCGGAGGGCCGTCAGGAGCAGGACGGGCTAGCGCTGCGGCAGCGTCCGGTGCCGTCACCGCCGGCGGAGGGCCGTCAGGAGCAGGACGGCCTAGCGCTGCGGCAGCGTCCGGTGCCGTCACCGCCGGCGGAGGGCCGTCAGGAGCAGGACGGGCTAGCGCTGCGGCAGCGTCCGGTGCCGTCACCGCCGGTGGAGGGCTGTCAGGAGCAGGACGGGCTAGCGCTGCGGCAGTGTCCGGTGCCGTCACCGCCGGCGGAGGGTCGTCAGGGTCGATAGACGTCGCCGGCCCCGAAGTGGGCGCAGAGGACGGGCGTCTGTGGGGGGGGGGGGGATCGCACGGGTTTCAGTATCTGGGCAGGACAAGGCTGCACCACACTGATATAGTGATATCTGAAACAATGACGAAAGAAAGTTGCTATAAAGTTAACCGAACTTACAGTTGGTGCAAATGTTTTTTTCCTAGCCAAACTTATTTTAAGTCAAAGTTAAAATATATTTTATAAAAATCAAAATCAAAAATTAAATTAAAATTAATTAAAAAAATTAAAAAAATAGATAAAAATCTAAATTTTAAATATTTGTACTTGTTATCATATAGACATATATCAGGAAGTAATCACAAAAAATGATAACTTATAATTTTGAGGTAACAAAATTACACATTTGAACTTCGCAGATAGGTCGCCTGTAGACCAACCAGTTACGGTCACAAAACCTTTACCTACGTTTTGTGTGATATCTCCCAAACCTGATAAAATATGAACTTGAAACTTCGTATAGCTTCAAATGAATACCCAGGCTATATTTGAGGAAGGTTTGGTGGTTGTAGCACTAACGATGACGTCACAGTGACGTCATCAAGTTTTGCAGTTTTCCGATATGGAGCGTTTAGGTCACTGAGCAAATGAGCATGAAACGCAACGGTAAATGGACTAAACAGCACCCGCTGTTATCCTGACACATCTAAGTACACTTTTATCTAGTTCTTGACCAGAGATCGGTCCTATATTTCGGTCTCATATATCGGATATATCGTGAGGAAACTAAGAAACGCCAATCTATAATTGGGCTTCTGACGTCAATGACAGTGTGACGTCATTTCAACTGGGATCGAAACCAAATTTGAGCATAAGCTCAGTCAGCTATTCAGAAATGTGTGCAAAGTTTCTTTTTTTATATCTCTTCGCAATCGCATTGCGACGATATCGACGGAGAAGTAGTTGCCCTCCCCCAGCCGCCGGCGCAAGACAAGTGAGTATGTACATACCGGCGGGTCAGGTCAAGGTCAGGTCAAGGGTACAAAATGCAAATTTCTAACAGTATCGGCCTTGCACCGTGGTTGCCGAAGAATGGACGGAGACTGATTGCCCAAAACGTGTTCTTAGGCTACCAAGACAATATTCGTTGCATACAATATCATGCAAAGGTCAAGGTCAAGGTCAGGTCAGGTCACCAAAAACGAAATATAGAAAAGGGCATGTGCGACACATGTGTTATGGGTCATTTTATTCATAAAATTCAATAGGCACACTCAATAAGTGATATGGATCACATCTGGATGAATTTCAGGTCGAGGTCAGGTCAAGGTCAGGTCAAGTGAGGTCAAATTTTGAAGTTGGTTGTTAAGGCCTCAAAAAGTAAATCTGATGCAATTTTTCAGGGCAAATCGAATGGTGCTATTTTTGTTTCCGTACAAGGTCTAGAACTTCCCAAAAATTCATTTTTCAAAAATTTTGTGTGTCGAAACGTCATAAAATTTTTAATAACTCCAACATTTTTTAACGGATTCTTCTAAAAATTGCTATGTACGTGCTCATAGACCACTTCTCTGACATGTATTCCGGTTTTTTGATATACTCAAAATTTTGGATTTTATTATTTTTCCAAAAGTCAGTTTTTGGAAGAAAAAAAAAAATGAGCAAAATCCAAAATTTTCAAAAAAAACCGAGATACCCATTTGATAGACGAAGTGGAATCACGTATAACCTTTTTGTTACGTCTTGATTCCTTTAAAAATGAAGATGTTAGCGGCGTTTGAAATTTTGCCGTTTTTGAGGCGAAAATGGCGAACATGACGTCACTAAAGCGTCATTTTCTCAAAAACATTCCGACGGATTTCACTCAAATTTTCAGAAAACGTCTTCAATTGATGTATGATAAGGTACTGAAAGTTTGACGTTGCTGGCGTAACGCGTTTAGAAGTTATTGGCGAAAAACGGGAGATGGCAGATTCTGCCCCCCCCCCCCAGCGGGGCGCGGGTTAATGCAAGATGAATTCCTAAGATAATTTTGAGAAAAATCAAAGTGCCTGGTTACCTGTAAGGAATATGAGACATGGATCACGTTCCCAATATTTGATACGTACCCCTTCCCGGTTCCCCGGCCCCCGCCCACCCACAGCCACTGCTGAGTGGTCCCCATCGACGTTATGCTATGCGAATACGCTGAGGACTATCCGTCCTGCAATCAACAAGTTTTGCAAGAACACAAATAAACTGATCACCTGAAGAAGTGAGAGACCGATGGCTGCTTAGCAGCGGCAGCAGCGAGTTCCTTCTGTTGTCTCCGGGCTTTATATTGAGCTCCGGACAGCCGAGCTCTTTTGTTCCCTTGACCAACCATCCTAATTAGTAATTGCCGAGGTGAAGTAGAAAAGGCGAACTACGAATATACACAACACTACACTAAATCTACAGAGCCTTCTCTAAATTAATACTCTCAACACTCCTAGCTGTAAGGCCTCAGGGTATATTTAGGTATTGAGTGAAGTAGTGCCCTGCTCAACGGCATGCCTTGACTGGAGCGCAAAGCGACGAAATTGTAAACAACATTTGGTAGCATGTTTAAGGATTGGTTACTATAGCAACGCTTGGGTTTCAATATGGCAGCAAGTTTTTCGTAGCCTTTTCAAAGGGAGGGGCGCAAAACTTTTAAAATAATGGAAAAAATACTACAGATGGCGGCTAGGCGTAAAGTAATCTGAGGTTAGGCGGCACTAGGACTTATCCCTTGCTAGACCTATTGGTT